TGGCTTCCCTGCCGTTCTCTGTCCCACTGAACCCCGTTCAGTAGTTCCTCATTCCTGTGTAATCCCCTTTCTTGTAGTTTGGCTTCATTCGTCCTGGCCTTCCTGCTTCTCCCTCCACTTGTAGCTCTACTGTGTATTCGAAGCTTAAAACCACATGGTCGCTGGCCCCAAGGGGTCTTTCGTATGTGATGTCCTCGATATCTGCACTACTCAAGGTGAATACTAAGTCCAGCCTTGCTGGTTCATCCTCTCCTCTCTCTCTTGTAGTGTCCCTTACGTGTTGGTACATGAAGTTCTCCAGTACCACCTGTGTGTGTGTGTTTGTGTGTGTGTGTGTGTGTGTGTGTGTGTCTTTCCGAATAGGTAAACCTGGCTGTTTTGGCTTAAATAGTAGCGCTCATCTTGCCGAATATGGAAAACGGATGTGGTAGAGACATCAATGTGATTTTTGAAAGTAAGATTCTGTTACTTTATCACTCTCAGGTCCTTCGTGTTAATTTTTCGTTGTATTGTGTTGTTGGACTTTGTTTTACGCTCCAATCAAGATTTTATTTCCTCAAGTTTTGCGTAGTGGATTTATTGAAATTTGTCTTTATTGAACTTTAAATTGTTTTCTGAGGATCCATTTGACGACTTGGATAATGCCCACTTGTAGATTTAAAGTGCCTTCCGTGGATGACACTGGCATGCAAATTCTCATATCATCAGCAAGGGTGGACACGATGCTGTTGCTACAAGATTCACGAAATCGTAATGGCACGATTGCAAACAAACTATACCTCGGGTGGGGTTTGAACCCGCGGCCAGAGTCTCAAAACTCCAGACCGTCGCGTTAGCCACTGGGCTAGCTAATTTCAATAATATTCGTCCAACTAGGTATATTTCTACACTATGGGAAGGTTAGCATAGGCACCACTGTGTCTACAAAGTTTTTACAGACGAATCTCCCGCTAGCATAGCCGTGACGAACTCTAGCTCAAGTCCCCTCAAAGCCGTCAACATGACAGTCTGGAGTTTTGAGACTCTCTGACCGCGGGTTCAAACCCCACCCATGGTATGGTCTGTAGCTACAACTCTGTCTATGTCAGATATGAGGATGGAAGCGAGTACTCTACCTTACCTGGAGTTTACCTGGAGAGAGTTTCGGGGGTCAACGCCTCCGCGGCCCGGTCTGTGACCAGGCCTCCTGGTGGATCAGCCCCTGATCAACCAGGCTGTTGCTGCTGGCTGCACGCAAACCAACGTACGAGCCACAGCCCGGCTGATCAGGAACTGACTTTAGGTGCTTGTCCAGTGCCAGCTTGAAGACTGCCAGGGGTCTGTTGGTAATCCCCCTTATGTGTGCTGGGAGGCAGTTGAACAGTCTCGGGCCCCTGACACTTATTGTATGGTCTCTTAACGTGCTAGTGACACCCCTGCTTTTCATTGGGGGGATGGTGCATCGTCTGCCAAGTCTTTTGCTTTCGTAGTGAGTGATTTTCGTGTGCAAGTTCGGTACTAGTCCCTCTAGGATTTTCCAGGTGTATATAATCATGTATCTCTCCTTCCTGCGTTCCAGGGAATACAGGTTTAGAAACCTCAAGCGCTCCCAGTAATTGAGGTGTTTTATCTCCGTTATGCGCGCCGTGAAAGTTCTCTGTACATTTTCTAGGTCGGCAATTTCACCTGCCTTGAAAGGTGCTGTTAGAGTGCAGCAATATTCCAGCCTAGATAGAACAAGTGACCTGAAGAGTGTCATCATGGGCTTGGCCTCCCTAGTTTTGAAGGTTCTCATTATCCATCCTGTCATTTTTCTAGCAGATGCGATTGATACAATGTTATGGTCCTTGAAGGTGAGATCCTCCGACATAATCACTCCCAGGTCTTTGACGTTGGTGTTTCGCTCTATTTTGTGGCCAGAATTTGTTTTGTACTCTGATGAAGATTTAATTTCCTCATGTTTACCATATCTGAGTAATTGAAATTTCTCATCGTTGAACTTCATATTGTTTTCCGCAGCCCACTGAAAGATTTGGTTGATGTCCGCCTGGAGCCTTGCAGTGTCTGCAATGGAAGACACTGTCATGCAGATTCGGGTGTCATCTGCAAAGGAAGACACGGTGCTGTGGCTGACATCCTTGTCTATGTCGGATATGAGGATGAGGAACAAGATGGGAGCTAGTACTGTGCCTTGTGGAACAGAGCTTTTCACCGTAGCTGCCTCGGACTTTACTCTGTTGACGACTACTCTCTGTGTTCTGTTAGTGAGGAAATTATAGATCCATCGACCGACTTTTCCTGTTATTCCTTTAGCACGCATTTTGTGCGCTATTACGCCATGGTCACACTTGTCGAACTCCTTGAGGAACTTGACTTTTCACTGTAGCGTCCTCTAAATTTATTCTGTTTACTATTACCCTTTGTGTTATATTTGTTAGAGAGTGAAAGATCCATCAACTCACTTTTTTGCATTTTCTAAGTACTGTAGTGTTAGAATTATATCAGAAATTCTGAGATTATCCAAATTTTGAGTCTTGGACATAAAAAAATAATTTAGATTGTCCGCCCTAGGTCGGATTAATGGCTCACTAGACACTGAGTCATACTGGGACTTGAGACTCACGTAATTCTTTGCTGTCATCTGTGTAAGTTCTGTCTCTTTTAAGCAAGGGCCAAATATTGAATGTTGTTTTTGCCCTAGATTTGGCACAAGAAAAGAAATATTTTGAGTTTCTTTCAATTTCATTTATTGCTTTAAATTCTTACTGTGTTTCGTGGCTCCTATATGACTCCTTAAGCTTAAGTTCTATATTTTTTTATTTATCTATCCAGTACTTCCTTCTGTATTTCAGATGTACAGGCTCCTTTGAGCAGATCTTTGATTTTTCGCCTTCGTCTGTAGAGGGAGCACCTCTCTCTTTCTAGTTTACATCTTCTCTTCTTAGGGGAATCAGCCTTGATCATACCTCAGGTGCCGCAGATTTTATTCTTTCTAGACAAAGGCTCGAATCCATGTTGTTTAGGATATCTTCCCAACTTGTGTTTCATTTAGGATTATTAATTTGATCCTTCTGGTTGTTTCTGTTATTGAAGATGAATTTGGTGAAGGCACCCTCAAAACTGATCTCATTTTGCTGGTCAGGAGCCCTGTGCATACATGTCTGTAATTCGATTATTCTGTGATCTGAGTGTATTGTCTGTGATACTGTTATATTTCATACCAGATCATCATTATTAATGAAAATAAGGCCATGTGTATTTTCCAGTTTTATTGGCTCCACTATTTGCTGTCTAAAGGTGAATTTGTTGCAGAGATTTAATAGCTCATGTGTGTGTGAATTTTCCTCTGAGCTGCCTCCTGGGAATATCTCTATAATTTTATTTACCATATTCTTCACTTTTAGGTGTCTTAATCTGACATCACCTCGCAACAAGATATTTGGGGCCGGGGTTGAAGATTTTCCGGCCAGTAGTTAATTTTCAAGCACTGTTCATTGAATTGTTGGGGAGCTGTATCTAGAAACTTGTATACAACCACAATGACAAAGTTTTGGTTTTCAAACTTTTCTGCCAAAACTTCAATCACATCATTTGTAGTGTTTAGCGTTCTGCGCAACTTAGCGTCTCCGTGGCACACAGGCAACCTATTCCCTTTTCGTTTTTTAAAGTGGTCCTTTGTTTGGATCTCTGTGGAATCCGCACACATTGCATTTGACTCTGAGGAGTCCACTGATGAAAGGTAATTTGTTATTGGATGATGGTTTTAGACCTTGTATATCTGCAAATTCAAATGTTGGCGTATTGGCTATTTATTGGAAGGCCTTATTTGCTGGCAGTAATATTTGTTGTTCTGAAGTGAAGGACTACTGACTTTACGTGCAATCCAGCAATGCTCCGAGGTGGTGTAGTATTTCTTTTATTTCCTGCCAGCACAGTGATGAGGGAATCAAAAAATATATAAGCAGAGAGAATATATATATCACATTGGAGGGAGGGAGTATGGAGGATGTATAGGTAGTCAGATATCTGAAAGTGGACTTGTCGGCAGATGTGTCAGAGAAGAGGTAAACCACAGAACTGACAAAGGAAAGAAGGTGGGTGGTGCATTCGGTCATATGTGGAGGCAAAAAGTTTTATCCATAGAGTTAAAAAGTGGTACCAATACTGTTGTAGAGGCGTGAAGAGTGGGTTTTAAATTTTGAAGCCGGGAGGCAGCAGAAATGTGCTTTAGGGACAACTTGTGGTATGAATATAATACAGAAAATTCTGTGTTAGGAGATTAGGAAAATTAAAGAGCTCTCAAAAGTATTAAGCAGAGAGCCAAGTAGGGGTTACTGAAGTAGTTTGGACAGTTATAAAGGATAGAGAAAAATAGAAAGATATAAGGGGGCATATAAATCTGGAGCGGAGGGAAGGACAGTTGGAGTCGTCATAGAATAAGTTGGACGGAGGGGGTGGATATAAATAAAGTCTTGGATATGAACCAAGTTTTCATGAGTGTTAGAGATGAATGAATAGAGATAAGTAGACTGGTTATTTTATGTGTCGTTTGAGTGTGAGCAAGGTAGCATTTATGAAGTGATTCAGAAAAATACAGTCTGAAGGCTGGCTGGGGATGATACAGTAAATAAGGTCATCTGAACTTTGTAGAAGGTATCTGAAGGTCGCGGTTAATATATATTGATGTATTTTTAACATATAGTAATGTATTTTCAACACTTTACCTCTGCATATTTTACTATTACAGGTGCAGTGTGTACATACATCTGCCATTACAGGTGCAGTGTGTACATATGCCATTACAGTTGCAGTGTGTACATACATCTACCATTACAGGTGCAGTGTGTACATACATCTACCATTACAGGTGCAGTGTGTACATACATCTACCATTACAGGTGCAGTGTGTACATACATCTGCCATTACAGGTGTACTGTGTACACACATCCCCATTACAGGTGCAGTGTGCACATACATCTGCCATTACAGGTGTAGTGTGAACATATATCTACCATTACAGGTGCAGTGTGCACATACATCTACCATTACAGGTGCAGTGTGTACATACATCTACCGTACAGTCCCCAGGGATCGCAGCCGCTGCAGGTGGCATCCTGGACGCCACATCAGGGCCTCGTTCTCACCTCTCACCTCCCACTCTTCCCTGACAAGTTCTCAAAGTGAGTACAAGTTCTCAAAGTGAGTACAGGAACAGAAATTTATCAATAAAATTATATTGATTATTTATTTCACCTGAAATAAATTTAAGAGTTTTATATACTTCATGGGGCAGTGGAAAAGAATTCTTCCTCCGTAAGCCATGCGTGTCATAAAAGACGACTAAAATGCCGGGAACAAGAAGCTGTAACCCCTTCTCCTATTTATATTACTAAATTTAAAACTTTCGTTTTTCTTTTTGTTAGGTTTTAATATAAATTTTTTTATTTTAATATTAAATTTTTAAAAAATTTAAATTTTAAAATTTTTTGGTAAGGTTCCCAAACAGGCAAAATATACCCATGTTTTGGGGGAAAAGAACTGCCCTTCCCTTAAAAAATAGCGGGCATCCCCCCCCCCGGGGTCCACGCCTGTTTTTTTGAGAAAGGCAGCCATTTTTGGGGAACACAGTTTATCTCCCCCGAGCCCCCCACCTTCTGGGAAAAACAATTGACCCCCGGGAATCTTGGTTTTTATTTTGCTCCCCCATATTGAAACGGGGCCTTTCTTTTTCCCTCTCGGTGGCTTTTGGGGGGCCCTTTGTAAAAATTTTTTCCCCTAGGGGATGGTCTGGAAAACCCCAATTTTTTGGTGTTTGCTTTTTTCCCCAGGCCCGGGTTTTTTGGAAAAATTAACCTGTTAGTTTTGTACTTGGGGGATCCCCCCCGGATAACTTTTTCCCCAATTTTTAATTGGGGCAGCCGGGTAAAAAGGAGCCATGCTAGGAGTTGATTTTCCGGAAATGGGCCCTTTTGGGGTTTTTCTGGGTTTGGGGGTATTGTTGGGGGGACGGGGTCTCCTGGTCTATTTTACGGGGCCTTTTTAGATGTGTTGTTTTGTTCGTTTCCCCCCCTGTTTTGGCCAGGTTGCCATAGGTATTTTGGTGTTGGCAGAAAATTCCAATTCCAGTGAATTGGGGGGGCAGGTAAGACCCTGCGATAGGGAGGTTTGGGTGGGAAAATAAAACTTTTTGGGAGGAATTTGGAGGAGTAAAAGTTTGGGAAGGGCATTTTCCCGGAGTTTGATTTTTTTTTCATTTTACCTGGGGCCCTGCGAAGGGGTTGAACACGGGTCCCCCTTCAGGAGGGTTATACTTCCACCTGTAGTCATGAGGGCCCAAATTTTTTTTAAATTTTGGGATGCTTGGGGGGGATGGGGGAAATGGTAATTTTGGGGGGATTAAACTGCCCCCCTGTGAGAAGTGAGGGAAAACATGTTATCGGGGGTTTAAAATCACCTCCCGGCGGGAATTACCCGGGGGTCTGGGGGGGAGTCTCAAATGGGTAAGGTTTTGGTTGAACGGGACCGGGGGTTTAGAACATAGTTATCATGGTTTTTTTTCTACCCCCCCGGGGGTTAACCCCCGGCACCCTCCTCCCCCCCCCCCCCCGCCCCCTTTCACCCGGGCCACCCCCCCCCCCACAAATGCAAGTTTTTTAAGAGAATCCCCAGTAGCGTGGCCGTGAAAACTCTGCTCAAGCCCTTTTCACTGCCGTCAATGACTTAGAAAATGAATGACACGTTTGAAAATAAACTTGGCTAGAGTTGTCACGGCCACGCTAGCTGGGATTGTCTTTTAAAAATTTGGGTTTTTTGGGTCCAGGGTGCTGTGCTAACCTTCCTATGGTTTTAGAAATTCCCTGTTGGTAAAATTTTGTGGCTAGTGGTTAGTGGTAAGCGACGGACTGGGAGTTTTGAGACTCTATGAGCGGGTTAAACCCCGGCCCGGGGGGTTATGGTTTATTTGAAATCGTGTCATTCGATTTTTAAGTCATTTTTCATTCTATTTCCCATGCCCGGAGGTTGAGATTTTTTTTTTTAGGATCGATCGATGGCTTGGACCAAAGGGAAGCCCCAAGGAGAGTACTTTTGGGCGGGTAAAATGGCTCGTGCTCCTGGTAAACAGCATAATTTTTGGTCATCTGTCGATTCGTAGAAAAAATATTTAATTTGGTGGGGCTTAAAGATGGGGCCCGGGCTCTCGGGAGAGTGTTCTGTGACTTGAGACCAGACAGAATAAAAAGGGGGGCGGGGGAGGGTCCCTCGTTGCACCCCCTCAACGGGTCAATTTCTGGCCCCAAAAAAACATTTATTTTAGAGTCACAATAAACGATTCTTAAAGGGAAAAAAGGGGGGAAGGGAAGTGTCTAGAAATTTTTGGGAGCAGCATCACTTCCAACAAGTTGAAAACGTTTGGTGTGGATGCAAAGGAAAGTGTCTTTATTCGGCGCATGTCAAACCCTCTTTCGGCTATCTCCCCAACCAGCGAACCAGGGGATGAGGGTTGCGTGGGGGCCCCGTCGTTCAACCGTACCCAGGTTCCAGCCATGGAAAATGGTTTTGCAATGCAGAGGTTATGTGGGTACACTCTCCCGTTGCCCTTGTCTTCCCATTTTTGGCTGATTGAAAACACGGTTGCCTTAGTGGCTTCTATTTGCCTTGCTTACCCTGGAGTGCACTAATACCTTCACGACATAGGTTTATTTGTAAACTTTTTTCTAAAATTGGGGAAATATAATTAAAAGTCAAAAAAAATTTTTTTGCCCCTTACAGCCGGGGGAACAGGCCTTTGGGATCCCGGGGTTTTAATGTTTGGGAAAGTCCCAAATTTTATCAGGTTTTTTTTTTCGGACTGTTTTTGATGTATACCGTGCTGCTTCATAGCCTTTTTGAACACCAAAAAGGGGTTGAGTTTGGGACAACACTGCGCACTCTTGATCACCCTTTTATGCAGGGCCCTTTTTGACTAGGCGCCGAAGTGTGTTGCCCACTGCAGTGGGCCTGATTCCTCCTCCTTTTCCGGAGGGCACCAGTGAGGCACCAAAAAAGAAGGTTAAGGCCTCTGGGGACACACCCGTGGCAACAATGGAAAATTTGGTGAGTTCAGACAGCAACCTCTCTGAAACCCCCAAGTGCGGAGAGCATTTGTTTTAAGTGTTTTGGCCTTAAAAAAGGTGAAAAACTGCTGAGCCCCCGTGGAAATGACTAGCAGCTTTAAACATCAAGTCCTGTAAGGTTAAAATGTTCTACACGGGAGGTCAATGTTGGTCTGGGAGCCCTGGGTGGGGTGTTGTTTTCAGGACTTGTGCTTTTTAAAGGCGTCCTTGGAGCGATGCATCTTCAGGTTAGAAGTTCGTGCTTCCCTTTTTTGCTAATTTTGCTTGATTTTTGGGCGTCAGGTGTCCTGTTGTTGGATTTGCTCCTCGGGTGTTTGTCGCCCCAAGGGAAGCGGACGAGGTTTTCGTGAGGGAATGCATTTATTAACCCAAAAAAACAGGTTGCTAGGACTTGTCCCTCCTTGGTGGGGGGCAACCAAACAGGATTGCCAAAAAACGTAGGTTGTGCCAGGGGGTCCGTTTTTTTGCAGGGCATCGTTGACTTTCTTCAAGAGGTCAGCGATTTTGCTGGCAGTTTAGGGCGAGCCTTTTTGGATGTGCCCTAAGTGGGGAAAATATAAAAAAATTGTGTTGTGTGGTGGGCAATTTATTTTTGACATTTGGAAGTTAAGGGTTAAACCCCTTGACCGCCAACCACAGCTAGGAAAAATTTTCTTTCAACTAAAATAAAAAAGGAAAATAACTTTGAATGTAAAAAGTTTAAATTTAATTAATACCATAGTCTTATATTTCCTTTTCGATTTTTTCATGGGCCCAAAATTTTCTTTTGACGGCGGAGGGGAATCCCTTTAATAAGGGCAATACAGCAGTGATCAAGAGGTGTGACAAAAACCCAGAGGGATCATTCCAGGTCCCTTTAACAGATCGTTCCTGGTCCCATGACACAGCGATGAAATTTTCTTTCCCGAAGCAAAATTTCAGTAAGTAAAACCCAATAATATTGCAGCAAAGTATATGATCCTGAGTAAAACGGTCTAATTTAAGATTTATTTAGATTTTGAGCCATTTACTCCGTGATAACAACGTTTAAAAAAATTTTTTAGGGGAGGGGTGAATTATTGTCCTTAGAAAAATTAGGTACAGATTCTTCTATCATGTTGCTATGTGTATAAAAAAAAACGGTGGTTTTAGGAAAAAAACCTGTTATGAAATCTGGGAACGTGATAAATATTTCGATACTAGACAGTCATCCTTTTTCTGTCTGGCCCAAAAATGAATCGGTGAAAGTATTTTTTATAAATAAGAATAAATAAATAAAATAATCATAAACAAATTCGTTTTTGCTTAGCACTACCAAATAAAACCCCCCCCGTAGGGAGGAGCTAATGTGTTCCCAAGTCCTCTTGTTTTAAATGCGGGTTACTTGTGAATTTCCCGTGGGTATTTTTGCCTTTTGTTATTTTTGTTCTTGTACGCAGGTCATTAACCAGGGGTTGGTTGGAAAACTACCGTATTATCAGAAGGCTAATTTTCCCTTTAGTGTCCCTGCCGTGTACAAAGGCTTTTAGCTTCAGTGTCCTGAAGTAATCAAAAAGTGATGAGCCAGTGTCCGTGCGTAATCAAAGTGATGAGCTCAATGTCCGTGGAGAAAACAAAGTGATGAGCTCAGCCATCCATTGCTGTGAGCAGTAAATATGTAGAATGCTAGAATGGGTCTGTGTGGGTAAGTTTTTTGCCATTCAAAAAAAAAACCAAATGGCCGGGTGTATGGTTTAAAAAAAAGAACTTGAATTTCGGTGTTTTTGGGTTAAATTTTTATGTTTTAAACTTGTTTTTTTGATTCAAATTTATAGAATAGAAGTATATTCGATATATAAATTATTTTGATTAGTTTAATGACAGGAAGTAGCATGAAATTGACCTCAAATTAGCAGATGTATTCGATTTTTGTCAGTATTTTAGAGAACAAGTCACTCACATAATACATATCCAACCGGCTGATACAATATGTGTTCACTACTGCACTTACATTATTGATACAGTTACTACTACAATAATGCAGTTACCTACATAACAATAAATCAACTGCTTATTAATTAGTATAATCAATAAATTTAGACATAAACATGAAATATTTTTAAAACG